ATGATGAAAATGGCCCCATACACAACAATGACAAGTGTTGTACATTACATAAAATATGTATGAAGAGCTTGACTGTGTGTTATTCTTGGCATTTGTCATGAGAAGAAAAAATTTTGTTTCAGCCCTGCTGAGCAAGATGGTGCACCGTAACCCAGATGTTATTATTCATGAGTATTTCTTACCCCTTTTGCTCTTTTCATTGACCACACCATTTTCTCTCTCGTTACAGGGCAGCTTACGTGTCCTTCGCTGGTCTTTTAATGCGCCTCCAAGGTGATGCTAACAACCTCCACGGCTTTGAGGTAGACCAACATGTATATCTACTGATGAAGAAGCTAGCCTTCTAGTCGTAAGGTGTTACCGTGGAGCATATGTTTGGACTGAAGTGACATTGAGCTAGTGGGGATGTATACAGTATGGAGAAATGAGGAACTCTGAAATTCCTCATGGAAAATCAAATTATATGATATGGATCACATTCCGACCTAGGGAGTTGGGATTGCTGTCTTTAGTAGACACTTGATGATGGTTGCAGCGTGTTTGGTATTTTATGGTTAAATTGGTCTTTAAAAACCAATATGGTCCCTGTTCCATGTGGTTTATATGGCTGAGACAGGACAGTATGATGATACAATATATGGCATTGAATATTTACTGTAATCGTCACCTTGAAGTATTGAAAGTGAGGACTACACACCTGGTGTTTGCTGTAATCGTTATAAGTTACTTTTTAATACTGGAAGTGAGACTGAAAGTTAGATAACAGTATGTATGCATGTCAAATAATAGTCACTTATCACTGCCAAAACTGAAACTTAGCAATATTTTAATTTTACTCTGCAGTTTAGTGCAAACTGCCTCATTTTGGCATTTGTTAGTCACGCCCCTTCTAATGGAGTTTTTCCTTTCTTCTTTTTTTTTTCACCGTGGAGCTTCTGTTCAGGAGAGCTTGTAGAAATTCAAGTGCACCACTCAAATTGTACTTTGAAGTAGACTAATTAAACCAAGTTAACTGTCTTCCTTTTATTTATTTAATTTATTAATTTTTATTTATTTATTTTATTATTTTTTTTTTTTTGGCGGACATATTGAAATAGTCATTAAGAACATTGTTGAGGTTTATATACTTTCATTTTGTGCAAAATCATCATCCTTGTTCATAATTTTACAATCTCCAAGCCATGGTTCTATTTATATATGTTTAATAGAATACAATCAGTATCTATGGTATCAGCAGGCCAGCTATCAGTGTGTCCTGACAGGCCAACATCACTAGGGTATCATGAGATACGGCCATGAATGGGATGTGATACTCAATCACTGATAAGTCCATGCAAGTATAAAATGGAGCAAAGTATTTCCTGATTTTGGGAATAAATTGGTTCTTGTCCTTTGTTTAAGTTTATTATTGTACTGTTGCAATCACTTGTGGAATTTAATATCAGATAGAGTCATCATGTTGAAAATTAAGGGTTGAGGAGTCACTGTGTTATATTTTTAAGATAATTATGTACTGTTAGAACAAGTCATCAGCAAACGTCAATAGTAACATATTCCTTTGGTTTTGTGCAACTATACTGTAATGTTATTAAATGAGAAACAGCAAATTCCATTTTTATCTTTTAATAAAATATAATTAATTCTTAAAATAATGTGATTTTTATTTTATTCCCCTTTGGTATATACCCCACAAACATTTCTTGTTCAAGACGCAGTTAACAATAATGTCAGTTTTGATGGTTCCTACATCATGACCTTGAACTTTTTGTGAAAAGTTTTCAGTCTACTTCATTCTCAGATATAAATATATATAGCAAATCAACAATTTAAAGTTTTAAATGACATAAACCCCCAAATAATGCTGTACATCGACCGAACAACCAAGCTGGGGTAGTGCTAGCAATTCTTTTCATTAGCCAAATTGCTGCTTTTCCATCACTTTTTTCCCATGTAGTTAAATGTGACTTAAGCAAGACAAACCAACCCAATTCAAGTCGGTTTTAGCATTTGGCTAAATGAGTGAATGTTAGTGCTACACCAGCCAAGCCTTAGCTTGTAAAAACAGATCATGAAACATGTCTTATGAAAGAAACTGTATAATCCCCATTAATATAGGTGTCTTAATCCTGTTTCTTGGTGTCATCTCTGGGGCTGAGGTCTAGCGACCCTCCCTCGGACTCCGTACTGGAGGACATGATGTCAAATGTTACCGTTTTCAGTAATTTATTTTCTGGTGGTGCAAGTTTCTGTTCCAACTCAGTGTCACCTACTGGTTTTATTACAACAGTGCTTTCCATTGGCATATTTTCATCACCCTTGTCCTTTGTAACATCAGAGCTGATTGGTTCACTTTGTTCACCTTTGACCTCTGGTTCTAAAGCCCCCTGGACCATATCCCTAAGAGACAAGGCAGCCAATTGGTCAGACGCTGGCTCAGTTTCTGAAATATTTGCTAGAGGCTGTTCTACCTCAGCCTGGGCACCTGACTGTGACTGGTGTGTGACAGCTTCATTTGTCTGAACTCCTCTAGGTGGCAGTCCTGCTGCCTCTGAACTGACTGAAGATGGCGCCACTGTAGCCTCTTCTTCTGTTTTGGGCTTTTCTTCCAAGTTTGTATCTTCAGAAGGAATACTTTCTGCAGCAGGCTGAGACTCTGGGGGAGGTGGTGGTGCTTCTTCCACTTTTTCAGGCAATAGATGGCGCATTGGTTCCAGAATGTGATCAACATCAAGTACACCAAGGCCCTGATAATATAAAATTTCAGAGTGAACTCAGGTCCTCCATAGATAACTCCAGACTTATTAGTTACTATCGTCAGGACTTTGTTCGTGTAAAATCGTCAGAGGGAGATCGTTCGTGATCCGAGCGAGACGAAAAGGCAATTTTTATATCATCATTGGGAGATCGTCCGCGATGTAAGCAAGAATGAAATGCAATTTTCATATTAGTTCAAGGAACTCAAATTGCGGAAGATCGTCAACGGGAGATCATTATTTTAACTCCCTGTAAATTTTTAGGAAGTTACAGATGGTAATTTTAGAAGGCCTGACACTCAATCCTGGGAAAAGCCCTGCATGCAACAAACGTTCCCAAGTGCGTAATTTTTTTTTAACATGGCGCGTCCACGTTATGATGCAAGGTTGCAATTAGGCTTATCTTGATCCTTCTCCTCTATCAGGAGGTATGTTTCTTACCGAGAAAATAATTGTACCACCAGCGTTAGCGCTGGCGGTANAAAAGGCAATTTTCACATCTTCATCGGGAGATTGTTCGCGATGTAAGCAATAATAAAATGCAGTTTTCATATCAGTTCAAGGAACTTAAATTGCAGAAGATCGTCAACGGGAGATCATTATTTTAACTCCCTGTAAATTATTAGGAAGTTACAGATGGTAATTTTTGAAGGCCTGACTCTCAATCCTGGGAAAAGCCCTGAATGCAACAAACGTTCCCAAGTGCGTAATTTTTTTTAATATGTCGCGTCCAGGTAATGATGCAAGGTTGCAATTAGGCTTATCTTGATCCTTCTCCTCTATCGGGAGGTATGTTTCTTACCGAGAAGATAATTCTCAACATGTTTTCGGGTACAGTACATGGTAAGTTAAATATAACTTAATCGAGATGCACTAATAAATAAGTTATTATTTACTACCAGAAAATGACTTAGGAAGTAGTAATAAATATCCCACAATATAGGAGGGTCAAAGATAACAAGTCGCTAAGGATAAAAGCTCAAAGGCCGGATTTTTGAAAATTTCGTCATACCCAGGAGTCGGGGAGAGGTAATTTTGAAAAATTAGTCGGATTTACACAATTAAAAATATTAATTAATTTTTAAGCGACGAAATTTTCAAGACTTTACCGTACATGGAATGTTGCAGGATAATGTCGACACTCAGCTTTAGACCCAAGGTCACCAACATGAGGTGGTTGGTAAAATTTCTAGTCCCTTGCAATGGAACATTATGTTATTTGATTAACTGAAGATGACAACTTATGTCTTTCTAATAACTCTTGCAAATAAGACATGCAAACATGGAGAAAATCAAACAAAATTTTTTTTTAATTATTTTTTAAAGCCTTAGGTATAATGTTAAATGTAGTACACAAGTAGAGTCTACAATGTGCTTACTGTGAGTGCTGTAAAGAAACCACATGGCTTTGAGGACAACTCGCTGTCTTGTATCTCTAGCCTGGTCTCAGCGTCCATAGATAAAGATCTTCTTGAGGGCTGACTCTCAGCAACAACTTCCCACTAATAAACCAACATGCAGGTAACGTTTACACGTTTATAAGCAAAATTTATAATTACTAATCAACATAACATACACAAGCAGCTATATGTTGTAAATTTATAGTTTCAGATAATTTTACCCTAGCTGGCCTCAATTTAAAGGATGAATCAATTAATAAACTTTTTCCTCAACAAGCACTATTCATTTTTATCAGCCAGCACTCAATGGATACCTCTCTCAACAATGCCACTGACAGCCTAAATATTAAGGACTCCAAAAAAAAGCAATGATCGACTTCTCTGATCCCACTCTTCTATTTCTTACATCATACCTACTAGTATGAGCTCGAGTAACTTGCTGGTGTGGATTTCAGGCCAATGTCATGAAGGGCTCTTATCCTTCAAACGACCCAACACTTCTAAAACGTGTCTCCTATGCAGATGCCTTTTATGTCAGTGCAGAAGATCAGCAGTACTAAGCGTGCAAAACTTAACATTGCCTAAACGTGACTCTGTATTTACATAGCGACAAGCGCTATCGCGCCGACAGGGCGCTGCCATCTTGAAAGTACCGCTCAACGCTTCTAACGTTACACAATAACTCCAGTTAATTATAAATCATTATTTAGATCCAAAAAAGCATAGCCTAACATTTCTTTTGGAAAGTGATTTCCTTAATTTAAATTTAACATAATGAAAAACAGAGATGAACAGATAGATAAATTATATGTTCCCAGATGACCTTGACCTGGTGTCGACGTACCGGCTGACGGCATAAGACATGCGGCAAATGGCAGACGAGGGGTTGGAGGTGGACCGAAGTCACATAAATCTGGTTGCAAACTGGTTTCCAGAGCTAAAACCACATTTAGTGAAAGATTCTAAGTCAGAAGATGGGCTAGAAAGTGACGGGTGAGACAGAATATGAGAAGCATAGAAAAAGTAACACTACATACAATATTCCTTCACCTGGATTGGGAAATCAACTAGTCCAAGGTTTTCAGTTTTTCCATTATTACCAACCTACCGTCCAGCTATGGGTGTGCAAGGCTCAAATACATTACCCACCACAGTGCAAGTCATCTGAATGCTTTAGCATGTGAAAAAATGCACTGGTTTTAAATTATTTTGATAAAAGTGCAATCTTTGTTCCATGTACTGAAACTGATACATCGCAACGTTTCCAACACATGAGGACCTGCAAGCACAGGGTGCCAGTTGTTAAAATATGTAAAACAAAAGATAAAATAAAGTAATGAAATTTGGACTGTCTTTGGAATGCATACTCTTATTAATTTTTTGTATTTATTTCTTGTTGAAATAATTTCCTGTTTTATTTTAGATCTCAGCCTGAAAATAAGAAAGAAGGTGTTATAAAAAAACAAAAAGGAAAGCATCCCAAAGCTGAGAAACAAAACATCACAGACCAAGTGGCATTGGAAATCAACAAACATGTGAAACATGGAAAGCAGAAACAATATAGACAGAAGAAAGGTAAAGTGTTCTAAAAGTGCCTGAGAATGCAGTTATCTTTTCTTACATTCCTTTATCATTTCTTCTTTTGCGTCGATCTGTCAACAGAAAAAAATTACAAAAAAATGTTGCTTTTGACAGCATTTGTGCATTGAATCATTTTCAGAAGTCACCAAAGTTCAAGATCAAAATGGTGATGTTGATGATGCGGATAGCAAAGTTGCTATGGTAACAGCTGCTAAGGAAAGATCCAAGAAGGCAGGACCAGCCACTACAAGCAGCTTACTAGTAGAGGATTTGCAAAACAAATTAAAAGATAAAATATCAAAGTCAGCTAAGAAAAGATTGAGGAAAAGAATAAACAAGTTGAGAAATTCTCTTGTTGAAGATAAAGATAAAGGTCGAAGTACTAATGATGGAGAAACAACATCTGAGAAACATAAAATCTCTGACAAGTCATTAAAGAAAAATTCCACTGAAAAAGATAAGACTAGCACAGATACTCTCCAAGATGAAAGAACTAATAATGAGAACATAGCACAGGCAGCAACAGAAAAACCTAGTCGGGGTCACAAAAACAAGACTACAAATCAGTTCAACATCAAACGTAACTGTCAAGATCAAGGTCAGTTGAAAAGAAAACTCCATGACACTTTTGAAAAGGTTGAGAGCATGAATCACAAGAAACAAAAAGAGTCACACTTGGGTGATCTGCCACCTGGTGAGGATGATGGTGCTAAGGACACAGATAATGCTGCAACCAAACCCTTCAAAAGAAAGAGGAAAAAGAAGAGAAGTAAACAAAAGAACATAAAGAAGGACAACAGACCTGATCATATGGTGAGTATTGTATGGTTTAGATAGTTTTAAATATATTAAAATGCTTATACATGAAGTGATGTATTGTTGAATTTACAGGTGTACCAAGAATTTCATTCCCATTATTTTTGTAAATGCATTTCATACATTAACTAATCTAGACAATTTTTTCTTTGAAAATGGTATCCTAAGTAAAGATGATATCCAATTTTGCAGAATAATCACATTGGTACTTAAACATTATTTTGTTGCTAACAGATCTAAATTGCTGTTCTTTCAGAAGCCACCTCACTTACGGGCAAAGCCAGAAGAACCGTCTGACAGTTAGTGGAGAATCTATAATTTCTGTAAGTTTGCCTTGAGATTATGTTGACGGTCAATTCCTCAGTGATAATTAAAATTAAAATCATTTGATATTGTTAGTAAAATTATTCATTCAAATTCTGTTATAATTACAGCAAAGACAAGATAATCCTTACCTAACATTGCACACTGGAAGAACTAAGAGAGAAAGAAGGGAACATGGAGAGCATTTGAAAAGACCTACAGAACAGTCTGCTCCTGTGCATAGAATGGGTATTATAGTGCCAGGCTTTCAAGATTTATGTTTTATTAATTTTATAAAATTCTAATTGCAAACATTCAGGCAACTAATCCTTATTAAAAATACAGAAAGTCTTTAATTTATTAGCAGTATAATGAATGACTTTATAGTGAGTTGAAGATATTTAAATAGACATTAATTGAGGAAAAACCTCACCATTCAAGTTAAGGCCATGGTTACTGATGTCAGTGTTTGGAATAGCAATAATTCATAACTGAGCTAGAAAATATACTTGGAGGTAATATTTTGATTCAAAAGAAAAGAATTAATGGCAATATTGGGCATAATAGTACGACAGCCATTCTCGGTTAATTGTTTTATTTCTATTGATCAATCAGATGGAGACAGTTTGGCTGCACAGATTGAACGTTTATTTCACAATTGTGTGGTTTTTGGGAAGTAAAGATGTGTACAAGTATTTTAATTGAATATTCCAAAACTGAAATGATTACAGTAATCTATTTGAACCTGAGAATCACCAAATCATTCAATCAGATGGCTGTAAACACACCATATGACCTTTGGCACAATATGCAAACATATGCAAACAATATCATGAATTCTTCAGTGTTGATCACGCTTTCTAAGGCTACAACTTTTTTTTTTTATCTCTTCTGAAGAACAAATAGAATGGTGGGAGCTGTGTGCTTGCCCTGTACACACATGTGAAGTTGTCTGTTTCTCTTCTCCAGTTTTTACCATCAAGGTTAGCTACATGTATCTCTTTCCTTAACCATTTGTTGTTCAAAAGATTCCATCTGGGCTGGGTATCTGCTTATGGCTAGCAGTGTGACTTTCCTGTGTTTCATTCCACAAAATTTACAAAATTCTTTGCTAAAATTTTATTGTTTAAAAATTAATATTTTTAATTGTATAAATCCGACAGATTTTTCAAAATTACATTTCCCTGACTTCTGGGAATGACAAAATTTTCAAAACTCTCACTTTCGGTCTTTTATCTTTATCAGCTTTTATCCTTGTCCCTCATATATTGTGGACATTTATCACTACTTCTAAAGTCAATTTCTGGTGGTGAATAATAATCTCTTTATTAGTGCATCTCGATTGAGTTATATTAACTTACCCAAAAAGAAAGTTGAGAACTGCTAATTCCTTTGTGAAAGACATTGAAAAAGCCACTGACATGGCACTGGCACCACGTAGTAAAGCAATGTATTAATTTGAGTGCTTTGATTGCTGTTTTTATTTCTTCTTCAAACCTCTCTGGAATTTCTATCCTCTGCCCCTTGACCTTGATGGTGCTTGTGATGTGACTAAAGCCAGTCTATGAGCTATGCAATGGTAGTTCAGCATCATTGGGTTGTCTCTCAACATGAATCCAGTTAGCCCTTTCCAAGTCCCAGTCATAACTTTCGCTCCATCTGTCCCAAGGCCCATTACCTTTGATGGTGGAATCACTCTGCCAGGTTCATTCATTACAGATTTCAGCTCATTGTAGATAGCTTCACCTGTGGCACTTTCTATTTTGATATTTGTCACAAAATCTTTGGAAGGAGTGAATTCTGAATCAAGAATTCTGGCATAAACTACTAATTTTGGTTGTTGCAATGTTAGTGCAATGTTAGTGCTTTCATCTAAGAGAAAACTAACATATGGACTAGCCATCAGTTTACCAGCAAGATCTCTTCTGATCACAATTACAGTAGTGCTTATCATTTCTGCTGCTGTTTTATCAGATCTATAATTGAGACTTTTGTTGCACTTTAACTCTTCAATATTGGGACACTTCATTTCTTCCAACAAATCCAGCAGTCTTTCATACTTAAAAATAGCAAGACCTTCTTGGGCTATCCAGTATGTAGATTTCAAGGCAATCAAAGCTGCAGCTTCTTTCTCATTCACTAGTTTCTCTACAGATTTCTGCAGTTGTCCAGCATGTTTTCAGCTGTGACACTCTCTTTGTGGTCAGCAGTGGCTGCATGGCGGTCAAGTGATGTGGTTTTAAAGTTCTTGTTCTTATCAGTCATTGCATTTTTCTTACCATTTTTGATGCAAAGTGCACATGACATAGCATCGGCCTCATTATCATAGCGGAGCCAAGAATAATCTCTTAACCAATCGTGTTGAAATTTCTATGGCACTACTTTTGGTTTCTTTCTTTCAGGCCCTTCGATGGAATTTGGTCTGCAGACCTAAAATTTTAAAAAAGTTAAAATTTCTCCCTTAAAAACTTATAATTTCTGGAACCAGACACCACAATCCAAAAGAATTTTTAGGTTTTGATGATTAATCATGACTTAATTAACACTTTTATCAGGAAAAATTGCATAATAGTGTTTGGGAAGGACATTTTTATCATTGATTTATTGTTTTCACAATATTGATTACTTTTCGAAATAAAGGCTTAAGTAAAAAAATATAGGTCACACATTTGGTTGGAGTGCATTCTATGAAAATATCCTTGATTAGGAGACCCTAACTTTTTTTCAAATTAGTATTCTCACACATATATACAGAGGAATAAACATATCAGAAACAGAACTCCTTACTTCTTCATTAAAGTTAAACATTTCCTTTTTTTTTTTTCAAATTATTTTTCTCACCCACACACACATATATATATACATTATAGAGAGATAGGAATAAACATATCAAAAACGGGCCTCCTAACTTTTTAAACTTCTTTTTCATATTATCATACTCACATAGGAGGTATAGCACTGGGGCTATGTATCAGCAGGTCACAAACAATAAAAAAGGTCTTATCTTGGCTGGATGGTCAGCCTTGGTGTAGATTTCTTCACTTTAGTTTTAAGCACTTTCTTTATACGTCTCCACGTCTTCAACACAATTCTCTAAACTCTGTGCGCCTACTCACTGCGCATGTGCAGTGACGTGTTTTCAGGTCACCTTTTACCCCCAGGCACTACACTCCTCCCCATTTTATCTTGAAGAGCCGTGCCCTCACGGTCGTGTCAATGCCTGGCCATCCAGAAAATCCTCTATCCTTCGTGGGAAAGGGAAAATCTCCTCCTGTCCCCGTGGGACTTTGGGGGGGGGGGGGGGGGG